AGACGGGGCAGATGGGGGGGGGCAGTCCACAGAGACAGTGGTCATACAGATGGACAGCCAACGACGCCTCACCGTGGTGGACGATCCCGTTCTCCAGCAGGGCCTGACCCAGGTGAACGCCTTCCTCCAAGTTGTCCGTCTCCCCGATTTCCATCAGCCAGGAGACAAACTCGCTGTGGGGAGGTGGGGGTACTGAGGTCAGCTGACTGTCATCAGGACGGCACGAGAGACACGTCAAAGGGCCACATCAAAGGGCCACCATCAGGACTGGATGGCAGCAGAGAGTCTTTGGGATGCTGGCTCTGAGCCGCACCACTATGTTATGGGGTCTGTGAGCCACGCAGGGCCTCTAAATCAGGAAGCCCAGAAGCAGCCTCGCTTGAGCCAAAGCAAACACCCTGGGCTGTATGCAGGGCAGCAAGAGCCTCTCTCTGGTCCCTATTTTCAGACCATCTGCAACCACGGTTCCACCCAGGTCCTGGCCCCCGCACTCCGCAGATTCCTCCCCTTCTCTCCCGTCACCCATCTGGGGTCATAGCTGAGGGACAGCACAGTTGAGGAAGAACATCCTAAATAAGAAGCTCCCATGGCCACTGGCCAGGCAGGCAGGGCTCGGTTACATAATGGCGGGCGATGCGGAGCTGTACCAGAGGGAGGACACGGCAGGCACGACAGCTTCACAGCGTGACCTACAGCGCCCCCTACAGCACATTCCCACCATGTGCCCCTACAGCACCCCTTACAACGCCTCCTACAGCACCCACTACAGCATGCCCCACAGCGCCCCCTACAGCATGCTCCACAACACGTCCCCTGGCTCAGACACAGACGGTCCCGAAAGCCAGAGAGTCAGCCTGTAATGAGCATCAGCAGCAGCAGACCTCCATGGGGGCGTTTCCCTGACCAGGAGGCTTTGTACTCGTGTGATCTTATATTTATATGACATGTTATGTATTTACAAGATGCTTTTATCCAAAACGACATACATGTTTTTTATAGAAGTAGGGTGGGACCAAAGGAGAACACGAGATCGCTAATGAGCCAGAAGAGTCTATAACAAAGTCCCGAAAACAGCGACTTCCTCCAAAGCTTCAGTCTAAGGCCTCACCGCAGACGCTGGAGAACCCAAGACACCCCAAGCCTGTGTGTTTTTAATCAGGGTAACACTGAGCAGAACCACTCGACTCAGACCACAATGAGGCGTCATTCTGTTCCACTGTCCCCATCACAGCAGCTATGTTTCTCTTGGACGTCCTCAGCCATCAGGTCCCGCAATCCATCCAGCTGACTCCCCATTCTTCATGTGTCCAGATAGAGAAGGTGCTGCCCTTACTGTTCCCAGCCCTTACACTGGCAGCCATGGGATTTGAACCAACAACCTTATGGAACCAGCATAGTCTCTTCACCTGCAGAGCCAAAACAAAACACTGATCCTGCTGCTTAAAATGGTATCCTTCTTCCCAGAATCACTCTCCTAACATAGCTGAAGCACTTCCAACTACATGGGGGGGCGGGGGGGTTTCCCGGCTGACAGCACTCAGACGGGAAGCGGAATCAGGAACACGTCTCCCCTGTTGGGAATGTCGACACAGCGCTGGCTAAAGGCCTTGATTCTGCTGCCTCGCCGTTTGTGGGTTTTCAGCCCAGACTACTGCTGTGTAACTGCTTCTTACATCAGAGAAAAGTCGGGTGGCCACATCCAGACGATCTGTAGGCATTCAAACCTTAAACCACCTAAAAGTCCTACAAGTCTAACCAAATACTTATTTTTTAATTTATAGTGAATAGAAAACACATTTAAAAATAACAGTCTAAAAATGTTTCTTCAATCCATTTTAGAAATGGTATGAAATGGGAACAACAAACAAGCAAGCAAAGAAGCAGAAACCCATCCTGACAAATTCACATTTAACCCCCCCAGAGGGGTCGGTGGGGCCGGTCAGGGTGACCTCTGGTCTCCACAGCGACCTACCTGCCCAGGAAGCACTTGGGGAAAGTGGTGAGCTTCCGCTTCCTGTCTTTAATCAGGTGACCCTGTGAGCACATCAGGTTGTAGAGCTTCTCGCCCTTCTCCGACACCATCACCCACGTGTCCTGCTCCATCCCCAACCGCAGACCTGGGGGGACGCAAACCACACCGCACAGAAAGCTCACGGAGGTCAAGCATGCTGTCCCTGGAGGATGCTGCCCATGACATTCTGGTATTCTTGCAACAATTTTCCAACTGGACTGAGACAGGACAGATCTGAGAGAGATGTGGCCTGCCTGCGATGCCGGCATCACTTTGGCCGTGCAGGGACAGCCGCACACGCATACAAAGAGCTGTCTCGCACTCTACAGACAGCCATTACTGCAGCTGAGAGCATAATCCCAGCAGAATCAGTGTGCTAAGCATCCAATTAGAAGGCTCTGTTCTGACAGGGCGAACTGCATATCGAGTATGTCGCCTCCTCACTTTTCCTCCTCTCCCTCTCCTTCATGATGGCCTCCAGCCACTCCTTCTTCTCCTCCGGCGTCTTCGCCATGCAGACGAACCACTTGTTTTTGGCGGTGTTGTGGATCTTCCAGCCGTTGTTGACGATGTTCCCACTGCTGTGGTAGTCGGCTGCGGCATGGACACAGAGCAGGAAGGGGGAGGTGATTTACACTCAGCTGCACACTCACACTCCTCACACACTCCCACTTACTTTACGCGCAAAGTCGTTCAAATGATGCCGCGTGAGAAATGAGGGGAGACAGTAGGGGCTATGACTCTTAGAGAAGATGTGGAAAAGGCAGCAGAAAAGCGCGAATAACTAGGCAGCAGACTGAGACAGAGACGTGTCACATGGAACTAAAGGTGTGTGAAGGAACACTGACAGGTCCCACTCTCCCCAGGACATGCATCAGGAAAGGGGACGTGACCCACTGCCCCTCTGCGGCCTTCACCGACCCTAACCCTGATTGACAGATCCCGCTCTCCCTGGTACATGCAGCGGGAATGGGGATGTGGCCCACTGCCTCTCTGCAGCCCTCACTGTGCAATTCCCTCGTCTTCCCAGCACCCTCATCTACTAAACTGCTGGACGGCTGAAGGAGAAGCGTCGTCTGACCCAGTTTCCTAGCAATAGCTCCTTGCAGGATTATTTCCAAATTGATTTTGCGAAGTGTGATTAATGGTCAATCTGCTGAACGGAAACAAACCCCCCAAAAACAGTGAGGCGGATCTCATTTATACAAATATGACACCTGGAGATGATAATGTAATATCTAAATAGAAATATGGAAACTCAAGTATATGGATACTTCAGACAACCTGGGGATTCATTCATACTGAAGTTGGCACTGAGTTTCAAACACCTGGATGACTTTACCGATCCATCAAAATGGCCGAACACTCATAAGCTCGCTAATGTTAAGCTCACTAAGTTTTACTTACACAAAAAATTATCTGAGGGCAGAACCAAAAAATGACGGGTTCAGAAAGATAACCAATCAGATCTTGGTCAGATGTCAAACCAACCAATCAGATGTTTTGGTCCCAACTCCTTTAGTTGCTTGGACCCACCTCCTCTACAATCTGATTGGTTATCTCTCTGAACCAATAATTTTTTTCATTCTGCCTTCAGAACATTTTAGCGTAAGTAAAACTCCCACAAGCCACAGGCTCAGGCAGTGAAAGTCCCTCTGACTGATTTAAATAACAATACATGACGAATATGCATGGCTGAAGATCCATAATAAAAGAGTTTGTAGGGCTGTGGCAGGTACCATGCATGTTAAGGACAGACCCCAAACCCAGACTGGAAGAAATTAAAAAGCAAGCAGAACCACTCCTGGAGGTCCCTTTGGGTTATACCCTGCCAACATTCTTTGGGGTTTTTCTGCCAAAAACTGATTGTTCACAGAGTAACTCTGAGCTGCTAATTGAACAGAGTACATTCTGCAAATCACAGCCGCCGGTAACGATAGACACACACGGGCCATGCATTCGGATCCTGCGGTGCTCTGTCCCCCAAGCAAGACGTGCAGAGCTCCTCGGCTTCGTAAAAAAAGAGGGACCCTTACAGGCTCCAGAATCTCTCTCGGATGAGAGGACGGATCGGGACAAGCTCAAACCAGACTTCCTGTTACAAGCGGGAGGTTTCAGAACCAAAATCCTGCTATATAAGGAATTTCATTTCTTAGGGTCTCTAATGAGAGTAACAGAAAAACAAAGTTTAAATTATATATACGAGTAACATATAACTCAGACCATCTTTTAGAGCAAACAACAATGAGATGTGACATTAACACCAGATAAACTCACTTACGGGAATATTTTCCAGGAATATTTTCTTTAAAGAGTTATAAAAATAGCTTTCTGCAGTTTCATGGGGCGTGGAGTGTTGAACTAATTCTATAAAGCAAAACAGGCTCTTTTTTTGGGAAAAAAGAGGTAAAAAAAATATATATATTTTGTCAAAGAGATTAATTATGCAAATAAAAATGGGATGTTAGGAAGTACAGGACAGACTCATAAAATGTAATTACCTCTTTAGTGGCCTTTTTGCATAAGAAAATCTAATTAGAGAAAATCTACATGCTAAAAGAATATGCTTTAAAAGGACAGTTTCAACGGAAAAAAGGCAACCATAAGGCTAACTAAGCCTCAGATGAGCTGGACACCCTGTGTTGAAATGCAGTGTCGGCGTGATCAGGGCAGATCGGGCCTAAAACACAATCCAAACCAGTGCCTCATTTCAAGTCTAAAAACAAGCCTGCATCGTGGGATCAGACTGCCAGGAGCCAAACGCCATTGGTGGTCATGGCTTCTGAGTGCCTGTGATTTGGGGGTTTCGGAAGACAGGACATCCGCCTTTCTGGCTCTCTATATCTATCTATTTTCGGTATTTTCTAGAATTTTTTATGTGTGGGGCATAAGAGGGGCCCTAATTCATACAGAAGGGCCAACTGTATCATCAGCCAATCATACGTTTTGAAATCAATAACAGACAGAGGAGGGGGCACTCTGGGAGCCAATCAGCTTTCAGCTAGGGCCGATGCCCCTGTGGCACCACCCCTGTTTATGTAAGCACAGGCCATAAAGCAGAGACATGCCCAAAACGTGGGGAATCCCTCCCAAACCCCCAGCCAGCGTGGCGGGATGGAGACATTCAGAGATGTTTACCTGTGCCATCGTCCACGTTCTCCACCTCCATGACCTCCGTGTTTATCCGACCTCGGAAGAGGTAGCGTGGGCCCTCAGAAGCCGCCTTACTGTTTTTTAAACGCCTGCACCGGTGGAAGCAGATACGTGTCACTAGAGGCTGAATCACTCACAGGACATCATGACCATTGTGGTTTTCTGATGGGGGAGATCCCCAGGGCTCCGGCTGCATCGTCATCATCGCGATGAAGGCCGTCAGCCCCCAACGGCAGGCTCGGTCAGACTCCCGAGCACCTGCTGAAGCACCCACCGGTTTTTCTTCTTGCAGTAGACCAAGAGATTGTCGAAGAGGAAGAAGATGCGCTCCTGGATGTTCCCGGCCGAGATCTTCAGCAGGACGCTCTGCATGAGCAGCTCAGTGCAGGTGTCTGTGATGTTGGATCCCTGAGGCCACCATCAGGACGACCCAAAGAAGAAAGCAAAGGATGAGGCCCCATCCGCTGAGGGGAAGGTTGTCACCCACGGGGAGCCATCGCCACCCCATGAGCAGGACACACAGACAGCTCCAGACATCTAACTCTTGGGTGTGACCGGTAACATCAGCTGGCAAAATCTCAGCCAAACGCATGCAGTCAGCCCCACTCCAGGGGGCGATAGAGAACACACTTCATGTCTTTCACAATACAGAATACACATTTCCTCCTGCCTGCGAAGCCATCTTCATTGCAGATATATTAGGCTGCTTTTGATCACCCTCGTCATAGCTAAAAATAGCCCCCAGATTGGCAGAGGCAGGGAGAGTGTTAAGTATTTCCTTCTGGGAAAAAATTCCCCTTGCACTGCACTTTACTTCAAGGCCAGATGTTCTGCAAATTCCTGTAGTGCGTGTGTGTGTGTGTGCGTGTGTGTGTGTGTGTGTGTGTGTGTGTGTGCGTCACACACTCGAGGGGCCAGGTGTGGTGGTGGTAGCAGAACGAAGGGCTGGGACAAACTCAGCAGTTTCCCTAGTGGGGAACACCTCCGGATTGGGTCTCCATGACGACTCGGGCCTCTTTGAAACCGGAATCCTCCAGCCGGATTTTTACAAGTGGCACCAAGCACTCCCAGCCCAGCATGACGCGGAGGGCAGACTTCCTGTGGGCCACCGCAAGTGTCACACTGCGACCCCGAAACCAAAACAGAACTGCCATCTCACAGAACTCCTGAAGAGAACATCCGCCTTTCACAGTTGGGGCATCCCTTACGAAAACAGAACCGCTGAAGGATTTTCAGAGCAGGGGCCTTAACTGCTCTTAAAGCAGTGGTCCTCTACCTTTTTCGCACTGCAACCCAGTTTTCACCATGCCAGCTCAGTTGCGACCCTATATCATGTATCATGTTTAAATTAATGCTATGATCAAGCACACACTGCACTCTGCAATTTACGCCAATCAATGGCTGTCGCACAAATCTGATTGGATGTGCCAGTGAATTTTAAATTAAGCCTCTGCGATTTTACTTCTTGGATCGGTTGAGTGTTCACTAGTGTTGTGCTAAGCAGTTTCAGACCCAAGACCCATTTATTTAGTTTAACTCTAGGACTGGGACTGGGAAATCTGATCGTGGATCAGCGTAGGAGCTTGCTGGTTTTAAAATGCTTCCCTTTCCAACTGTACCATTGCGACCATTTCAGAACTTGCCGCGACCGCGACCCATGGGCTGAGAATGGCTATCTTAAAGCACAGCCGTCACCCAGCAAAGCAGCTGCTTCGGTATGCGCCGACACGAGCGCCTAGCTGTGACCTTGTCAGGCTGCAGTGACATCGCTGAGGGTGATGAAGGTCATTTGCACGACATCACATATATGACACAGAGCTCTGAGGGTTAAAGAATACTCAACTATGCCAACACTGCACAGTAGGATGGCAGGAATACTCATGCTTTAATACATTTAACCTTCATTTTCAGTGAACCACTGGCCAATCAGAATATGAGACAGATCAGAGTGAAATAAATAAAAAACAAGCTGCAAGAGTGACAGTGGCCCGGAGCAGCGGAAAAAGGCCTAGCCAGTTACATCCTGACAGTGAGCACCTAGAACCCCCCCCCCCCTATCCTCTGGACAGGAACAAAACAGAAAGAAACAGAGAATCGAGCCTGGTCACCCCGGCACCAACCAGAGCAGAGCTGGCTTTAATAAGGAGCCGCCCCCCCCCACATCCCACTCGGACAAACTGCGCTGATGAAGTAACCCTCCGGCAGAAAACCCCCGCTGAAGCACCGAGGGCGGGAACATGGGGGCTGCTTCCAGGAGCCGACAGCGTACGTCCGAGAACACGCCGTACTGCTGACCAAACCCCCACAATGTCGCACGGCGCTCCTCAGGGAAGCTCTCCACGCGCCGCAATGTGTTTGGCTTAATACCCTGCAGGATGGCTGATCATGTGGGCGTCTGGGGCGTGGGCATGATCCGGTAAGAAACTCCAGAGGTACAAACCAAGGGTGGAGGGAAGATGAAGGGGGTGACATTTAAAGGCCGATTCCCATTCCGGCACATTCTCTCCAGATAACTGGTTTGTTTTTGGTCCTGCAGGATGTTTTCGCAGCGTCTAACCTGGTCGTGTCGCTAAGGAGGGAATCCGGAGTGGGAACACCCCCAAAGCAGCCTGTCTTTCCTCAGACAACGAGGGCTTTGTTTCCAGGGAGGGGGGCACGACGCGGACAGCAGTGGGGGGGTTGGGGGGGGCAGCTCAGCTACGCGCTGACGTCACACGGCGCCCCCCCCCCAAGGCTGCTGAGAGACACCATTGTGGCCGATTTGCTCAGTCTGTGAACGCACCCCCCATTCTTCATCTGCCTACTGGCACTGGTGGTGGGAGGGGGGCTCTCTTCTCCATTTCGATTTTCCTGGTTGTAATCGTTTCCATCTCTGTTCACAGGGTGCTGGGAGGGCTTTGCCAAGGAGCAGTGCCGCTGTGCCCACTTGGCATCACACAGGCCATGTGCCACAGTGCCAGGCTGGGGCTCTCCCCCTCCCCCTCCCCCTCCCATTCTCCTCCACTGCGTCACCCGCCTTCTGGCTGCCAGGTCCGGCCCGCCCTACCTGCCTCAAACCCAGAGACACAGAGCCCCTGCTTCCAGTGAGCTCACCGTGCTGTTCTGTCACCACCCCCCTAGAAGCTAATCAGAATATGCAGCCCTCACACCTCTGACAACCCCCCCACCACTCCCTCCAAAAAATTCACATCATATGCAGACTGCGTTCAGACTAATGGGAGCAAGCGTCCTAATTCAGATTCCGCGTGGAAATGCACAGGATAACACGACTCGCACGATAATTATGCTGCATTAGTCACGGCCCCGTGCTCAGGCCGGTCACCCATGCTCTGATAATTTGGCTGGAGTTTGTGGTTCTACTTTCTAGAAAGAGCTTTCATCACCACTGAAGGGGAAATGCCTTCACTTACTATATATGATCAGCGAGATTCCTTTAGCCTGAACATCAGCCTCAGTGTATAACAGCGTAAAGTGACTTTCTTTCTCCTCTGCCGAATGAAGTAATTAAAGAAAAACACACCAGTCAGTATGTTTTGTTACACCAGAGTGTACCGTGCACACACCCCCTCTGATCGACACCCCGACGGATGCATGTAGGGTGTATCTGCAGGTACCATGAAGCTGCCTGCTTGCTGAGATCCACCCCCCACCCCTCGCCACACCCCTCACACCAGCCGTGTCCCACACGCCTCCCGCTCCCCCAGCCACCGCAGCCTACGCACCTCCCAACCCTCGATGTGTGACTGCCACTCCTCCAGCACCTCCAGCTTCTCCATCTGCCTCTTGGCCTCGTTGATGCCGGAGCAGACGGCCTTCATGACCTGCAGGGCCTCCAGCACGGCGGCGTGGTCGCTGTGCTTCTTCGGGGTTCTCTTCAGGAGCTCCTGGACACCGAGAGGAGTGCCGTTTAGGAGGCAGAAGGAGAGAGGAGCGACGGGGGAAATAACAGCACAAGCCTCACTCGCTCTTTTGGGAATCTCATGCCGGGAATTCTTGGTTAAATCGCCCAGCTCCTGTGTGTCATGGTCTGATGCAGAGAGATACTTATCAGGCCCACAAGCCTAAACACACACTCTCAACACACCAATTAAATCGGAGTATTTGTGTTTACTCTTCCTAAATGGTTACATAACCACAGTTTTCCATCTGCGACAGAGTTTAAAATGCAGGATTTACACGGTATGTGCCTCAGAAGTTTGTGAGAGTTAAAACAAGGCAGCACTGACTAGTAAAGCACTTTCTAGTGTCAATAAATTAAATACATTCACCATTTTCATCTAGCAGTGGTGCTGGTGCGAAAAGTACATCGTTATTGTCTCATAAGACTAAAAAGACCATTTCATTCCAGGATATATGCTGTCTAAAAGTTTAAACTTAACTAAGGACTTAACTAGTCTGACAGAGCAGTTGCACTATTTGAAAGCCATCATGGCTTTGAGGAAAAACAAACAGTCCCCTGTGCCTCTTTATTTCCAACCATGGCCAAACTATTTACTGTTGGGGGGGGTAAGTCAGAACTGAGTATGAGGCAGCCGTGTGTAATGTGGAAATGACAGGTCAGACAGAGAGACAGACAGGGAGACAAAACTGAGAGACAGACAAAGAGACAGAGATAGAGAGACAGACAGAGAGACAAAGAGAAAGAGAGAGATAGAAAAAGACAAAAAGAGAAAGAGACAAAGATAGAGACAGAAAGAGGCAGAGAGAGAAAGACAGAGACAGACAGAGAGACAGACAGACAGATGATGAGGGGCAGACAGAAAGAGATAGATAGACTGATGGAAAGAGAGACAGACAGACTTACCCTTAGAAGGAGAGGATACTTGCAGATCCTCTGGATGGGCGCGACCAGATAACCTTCCAGTGGTACCTCTGTGTTCTTCCTCCCTCCCAGCAGCATGCAGTTCTAAAAAACACATGTATAAGCACACACACATGCACACGTACACACACACGCACACGTACATACACACACATAAACACAAAGCCAAGTGTGGGCATCAGCTGAATGAAGCCACAGTCAGGGGACACAATTACCCCCTGTTTTTTGGCCACCCCCAACCTGTTAAATTAAACAAAACTATCAGTACAAAGAGACTGGGGCTGTGGGTTCGGAGAATGGGGGGGGGGGGCTCCCTCTCATCATGCTGTTCCTTCAAAATCCGCCTCCCTTACATTCATTTCTGTCTGTCCCAAATCTGTTTCAGGAGAACTTAGTAAAACAGCACTTAGAAAGATCCTCGGAACATTCTGTCCTCCCCGTCCCGCCCCATCCCGGCCCGCCAGGCCATGCACTCCTTTGTGACCTCACGCATTCAGCCAAACACGTGTGGGGCGAGGCCGCATGTCTGGGATCCAGGGCTACCGTCTTTATGAGGGCCCTCAGCTCTCGGAGGATTAATGGCATCTGTATGACAGCGGCAGCAGCCGATTTGGGGGGGGCACCTACCAGCAGATATGTAGGGGGACACATGGAGGGGACGGGCACACACCAGCCAAGATGGGGGGGCAACTACCAGCAGACATGTGGGGGGGGTACCTATCAGCCGACATGGAGGGGCAACTACCAGCAGACATATGGGGGGGTACCTATCAGCCGACATGGGGGTCAATTACCAACAAACATGTGGGGGGGTATCTATCAGCCGACATGGGTGGGGGGAACTACCAGCAGACATGCAGGGGGAGCACCTATCAGCCAATATGGGGGGGTAACTGCCAACCGACATGGGGAGCGCAACTACCAGCAGGCATGTGTGGGGGTACCTATCAGCCGACATGGGGGGGCAACTACCAGCAGACATATGGGGGGGAAACTATCAGCCGACATGGGGGTCAACTACCAGCAGGCATGTGTGGGGAGGGCACCTACCAGTAAACACAAGGCGGGGGAGACCTACCAGCAGACACGTCCGCACACTGCGGATCTTGTTGAGCTCCAGCAGAAGTCTCTGGGCCTTCTCATGGTTTCCACAGTACTCATCATATATCTGAAAGCGGCTCCTCTGAGGTCGAGGTGCGGGGGGAGCATACAGATAGTCAGCAGTTAGTATGTGCAGGTGCATGCAAGCTCAGAGTGACAGACAGACAGAGAGCTCAGACTGACAGACAGAGACAGACAGAGAGCTCAGAGTGACAGACAGAGACAGACAGACAAAGAGAGAGCTC